AGGTGCCTGAAGGACCAGTGACTAGTATTGTTCTCTGGTATCACAGTTCAGGAGCTATTCTGTGGGGTTTTCCTCAATGTGCTTGCACTACAGTTACAATGTCTACAGTGTACCCCGAAAAAACAAATTCAAGTCATTATGGCACCCATATGGGGCTTTCCGAAAATTCGGGTACCTTATTTTGGGGTCCTTATAATAAGGATCCTACTATTTAGGGTACTATATTAGAGTCCCCTATTTTCGGAAACCCCCATATCACCAGCTCCTGGTCTAGTCCCACGAGCATGGGAAGCCGAAGAGCAGAAAAGGTTTAGGTTTCAGAGGGTTAAGCTTAAGAGTTTAGGGTTTAGGGGTTTAGGGTTTAGGGTTTATATAGGGTTAAGAGTTTAGGGCTCAGGGTTTCGAAGTCAGAGTTTAGGGCTTGGGGGAGTGAGATTTATGTCTCCCCTTCTTGGGGATCCTTACGAAATCAACGTATGTTTGGGATGGCTCAGCTTAGAAGCTACTTGGAGGATCAGGGGGCTAAGAAAGTAAGGTTGTGAGCACCCCTGGAGTGGGCTTATAACAGTTGCCGTATGTAAAACTTGGTCACTAAGTCCCATGATCCTTTAAGTAGTGGCATGTGGCAAGGGTTTCATAGAGACCCCCAGCACTACTGGTAGCCGAAACAGCATTACCGAAATAGCGTAGTAACTTTCCTGTATTGATACGGCTGACTAGGACTTTAAGACCTCCTTTAAGGCTGCCCTTGCGATTCTGCTGAAAGTCGATAGGCGCTTGTTCAGGGACCCGAGAAACTCAGGGCGACCAGACGAGTCGCTTGCTCCTGATATTGGGTTTAGGGTCTAGGGTGTACATGGTTCAGGATTTCTGGCTTAGGGGTTTTAGGGGAGGCACTGACAGCCAGACCGGGAAATGGGCATCCCAATAGCTCTTCGTAGCCACGGTTCGCCGGTTTTGGGTTGTGGGGTTTGGGGGTTTCATGATGCGTCATGTTAACGTCCTTTCAGCGGGGTCTTTCTCTTGGGTGGTTGAAGGTGTAGAGAGGCGTAGGCGAGTGTTGACGGGAACCTGACACCAGAAGATTCTGAAGCTCGCCGAGCCCTGCCCGAAGTGGTAGAGAAATTTCGGCAGGAAACCCTCAACCCTGGCCCGAACTGCCTAAACCCTAAACCCTCTAAACCCTAAACCCTAAACCCTAAACCGCAACTGCAAGAAGAGCTGAAGCCGAAGCTTCAGGAATAGCTTCGTTTCGACTCTGACTCTTTGCTCCATCGGTGGAAAGTATGGAGCCTGGGCTGCAGGTTTCGGACATCCCGGGCCAGGGTTCCGGGGTGTACCTGGACCCCGAACGTATGTAGACTAATAGCCTTGTAGAGGTTTGGGGCCATTATTGAATTTTACCTACTTTGGGGGTTTTGGATTTAGGGTTCAGGATTCAGGGTTTCGGGGTGTGTAGAACAAGGCCTCTACTGTGACAAAGTCTGCTATTCAGCACTGAAGGCTTAACGCCCCCTGACACCCCCGAACCCTGAAGACTCCAAGCTCTACGCCCAAGACATCACACTCCCAAACTACCCTAACCCCCCAGGCACCTACTATATAGGGTAATTACTAGAGCCCCTAGGGCCCTATTTAGTAGGTACCTGGAGGGTTAGGGCTAAAGGCTGCAACCCTAAACGCCCTCTGGCAGAAGTTGTTTCAACCCTGAATCCAAGAAGCCTTCGTGGCGAAATCACCACAACCTGCAACGTCAAGAAGTCTTCCGAATGTGGAGCAAGTCTCAGGCGAAGGAATGAAATTCACAGGCGAGGCATGCCCCACCAAGCAGGACGCATGCAGGGTTTGAATGATTGGGTGAGGCTGTGCTCAACTTTAAATCTACTCTAACCATAGATCTATTGTTCTGCCTGACAGCCATAGGATCTACTTCATTGATCTCTAGCTGGACTGAAGTGATTGTGCATCTTACGGACGTCCGCGTTTTCAAGCAGCCATGCAAAACATGCAAAGGTAGTAGACTACACACTTCAGTACTGCATTCCTAGTTTCTTTTGACGATTCCCTTTGATCCTCCTGCAGTTGCTTCTCGTATTGCTGTTTTGTTTCCTCGCTCTCCTGCAGCCGCTACTGCTGTGGGAAGATGACGATCACCACTATGGCAGCGACGATAGCTGCTCCTACTACTACATGATAAATGTTTTATGATGGGTGTCATTTCTATTGATGCGGCTGCTGGCACTACTACCACTACGACGACAACGCCGACGATGGCGACCACGACGACCATCACCCCCACTCTCCGCCACCGCTACCGCCACAAGTACTGCGACGATTGCTGCTGCTGCTACTACTGCTACCCCTACTCGTCTAACCCTCTTGTTAAATGCGAAGGTTCGCAACCTTCATAAAAAACCGGGCGGTTGCGTCAGAGACCAAATTTGGGATGTCTCGGGGATTGGGTTCAAACACAGCATTCACTCCCTTCATTTTCACTCCAGCACTCGAGCCAGAGTCGTTTGCAGCACTGCCTTGGCTGCTCGAAAGCAATCAAAATGCTTCATGTTAGAGGCTTACCACGAGTTATTTCACAGTTAAGGCACTCGGATTCACATCGGCATCTCCACATAAGCATTCGAACGAAGCTTCATTGACACAACCTTGGATGCAAAAAATAGTGTTTAGGACTTGAAAAAGTCACTCGGAATCCCCAGGGCCTTGTCTAAATAGGGCTATGCAGCTTGAATTCCTTAGTGGGTTGGGGCTGGGAACTGCTTCGAAGATAGAGGAACCCTATATTAAACCGTAGGCAACCCACTAAAAAGTCCCTATAGGAATCCCCAGGGCCTTGTCTAAATGGGGCTCTGCAGCTTTAATTCCTTAGTGGGTTGGGGCTGGGAACTGCTTCGAAACATAGAGGAAGCCTATATGTAACCGTAGCAATCCAGTAAAAAGCCCTATAGGAATCCCCACGGCCTTGTATAAATGGGGCTGTGCAGCTTGAAATCCTTGCTGGGGTGGGGCTGGGAACTGATAGGCAACCCACTAAAGCATCCCTGATCCCCAGGGCCTTGCAAAATGGGGCTGAGGAGCTTGAATCGAATTCCTTGTTGGTGCGGGGGCTTTTGGTTTCTTTCTTCGGAACATGTACAACTTTGCAGATGAAGGGCATGCCAGCAGCTCATCTGGGAATATAATACTCATCGTCTCCATCCTTGTTCACGCACTCGCCTGGGCAGCCCGAGGCGCTGTTCTTTGATCTGAGGGTTTGGGAATATATATTCGGATTACATTTCAAATATACAGCTATGAGAAAGCCGAATATACTGATCTGCTGATCTGAGCATCTTCGTCAAGCGACGCTTTGCCGCAATGAGCTTGAGCTGGCCCATTCGCAGAATCCAGCGGTTGAATGGGCCAGGTCTGCGCGGAGCCCGCAAACTAATTCCTGAATCTGATGCTCATGAAAAAATCACCATGAAAATACATTATGTATATATGTATATATGTATGCAAAATGACAGCAACTCAGGTTCTTACGTTTCAGCCAGCCCATGGAGTCTTCTCCAGCGAAATTGTGACTGTAGCGCGTATTGTAGCCTGAGGGTCCCAGATCTCCGATGTAATGGAATTATACAGTTTAATAACTGCTGCAATTCTTCGGACAGGATACACCATTTGTGGCTCTGGTCCAGCAAGTGAAGCATTGCCTTTAAATGCATGCTCATGATGGTCAAGCTTCGAATCGAACCAAGAGCCACTCAGTTGAAGCCGAGCTGCATGGAATTTGGGTTTCAGGACCCAAGCCACAATCTTCAGCCTCAGCTAAATCGGGATTCAGGCAGGGAGTCTAGGCGACGAGATTTATATGTAGCAAGCCAAGTAACCGATGTGAAATTTGGGTGAGTCGCAGGTGGCATTTCAAGAAAAGCATACCATTGCTATGTATCTCATCACTTTGCCGCCTTGTCCTCGGCACGGGTCTAGTTCGAATCTCGTACACAAACCCTAAGGCTCCAGTTACCTAAATAGTGGGTTACCAACCATATATTATACCCCAGTAACCTACTATATTTAGGTAACTGGAGCCCTAGGGAAACCCACTATATAATATACCTAGATTCGAAAAATAATGCTTTGACCCATGCCATGGAAGCTGCAAATATCGCCCGGCGGCCTCAGTGGCGTTGAACCACTGGGAGAACGAAGTCCTCGGATCCCCGGACTGCAAGATTCAGCTCGGCAGGGGTTCCGTGTGGTTTACAACGGTCATTCTGGTGGCTTCAGGGTTTCGAGGGGCTCGAGGTCTATAGGGTTTAGGGTTTTAGGGTTTATAAGGGTCTACAGGGGTTTAGGATTTCAGGGTGAGGGGCTGTTTAGAGAGAAAAAAAAGAAAACCTCACCACCATTTAATAATATAGGGCTGAGATGCAGGGCTGTGGCATGCAATCGCATACTTGAGTTCACCGGGGCACCCACAGCACATTGCTGACATTTATGTGCCAGCCACAACATGACAACCCTCGCATTGTAAGCCTTGGCAGTGAAATAGTAGCCATGTTGAGATTTGAACAAATGTCGGGGTGCAAAGCTTCTCTGGCTGCACGGAGCTTTGTTTGATCGGCGCCACTGTTGGAAATCCATGAATGCAGTCTGAAGGCAGGTCTTCATAGAAGTGGCATCCCCAGCAATGTATGCGCCGAAGTGACCCTCACGCAGGAGAGCTTCCCTCGGATATCAGTTGGGACACCATTTTATTAAATCAGGTGCTTCGAAACACACCATGAAACACACATATATATCATAATAAAGACTCGGCACAGGGCCCCTCCACTCGCCGTATGGACCAGCCCCAGGTTGCAGACGTGCATGGAGCAGAATTTGATCATAGATAGATCGAATCCCTGGAGATCCGTCAAAGCACCTTATTGGTTTGGGCTTGCAGGCTGCACATGCTAGCTGTAGCTTTAAAAACATATGCAACCAAATCTGTGTTAATTTCAGTGGATGATACTTCTGGCTCCAGGCCGAAGGGCGCTCTGAAGAAAGGAATTCGAGTCCAGTTGCGAGCTGCGCCAAGCAGCACCGTCCTCAATGTCGTAGTAGCGCATGTGACCGTCACTGGCTTCTGCATTGCATAAGAAACATAGTTTCTTCGAAACAGGGGTTCGCAGCAATCTCAATGTGCGTTCATGCCACTTCCAGTCTCCACGAAGTTCGGCGCACGCCCACCGCGTGCCAAAAGCGAACTCCGTGCCCGCTTTCTCGGCCTTCACCCCTGTCAAAGGGGTTCCATCCATGGCATTTGCAGGGTATCGGCCTGTAAAGGCACAATTGCAGCTCCATACGATGTGTTGCAACACGGGTTGTAAACTCTTCAGATTCTCATGCACCATAACCGAGTCTTGAATGGCACAAAGGAGCCACAAGCCTTCACGCACCACCCGAGGTTTAAACAGGGTCAGCTGCAAAAACAATCCCGTTACTTTGTCCTTCGAATCTTTGCCTAATACAACTTCATCGCCGTAAAGTGTGAATGGCACATGGTTGTCTGAGCCCGGGAAGTTTATTGCAAAGGGATTTCCATGATCACGAAGGTGCTTCCAGTATGCCTGCACTTTGTCCAATGGACATTGAAGTTTGAGCTCCGTCTGCAGGTAGTCCAAAATCTCATGTACATCCAGCACAGGGACTGTCGTTTCAACTTCCCTCCGGTCCCCTTCAAAGCCCTCGTAGAGAGTAATTGGAACTTCGGTTGGCACCTTGGCCGAATAATTTAAAACCAAGTCCCCTAATAGAACCCCTTGCTAAATTCGAGGGTTTTACTTGGGGGTTTCAGGCCCTGGGATACACATATGCAGTTGCGGTTTGTACAAGTAACCGTTATTTATAATGATTATAAAATGCGCTCAAGAAACAGAACGCTAGTCTGCAGCAGGGCCACAAGAGGCAATTGGATCTCTTTGAAGAAATCACGGGATTCATTGCCATGAGCATATCTCATCAGCCCAGACATTTTCTTGCCTTTGAAGCGGCGGCCAGATTCCTGCAATTGTAAATCCAGATCTAGATCTAGACGAATACAGCACAGTAGTCGGACCTCGTAGCTGGCACGAGCATTCTGCATCGCAGATCCCACAGTATCTGCCTCAACTCAGCTGAGGAATGCATCGATCCACACTCGAATACAGCTGTGGCACCCGGTGCCCTGGCTGCAGATGTATGCTTACCAAGGCTCTCCATCCGATACTCGCTCCAATATGTTTTGCAGGAGTCCAGAGGCATGGTCGCCATCATTATCACTACCATCATCATCAGAACCTGGCATGTGGACACAAAATAGGATCTGGGGTTTGAGGTACTTTCAGGTATCGATGCGGGAATGCTCGAACTCGATTTTCCTTTCACAGGCGTCGACATGATGATGGCACCATATGTTGCAACATGGCGCTCGACAGGGCCAAGTGCACAGCTCACTAGTCGGCTGCATCACTTCCCCACACACACCAAGCTGAGCCTGTAACGTATGCCCTATAGTCAGAAGGCTAGCAGCAGCACTTGCATTGAGTTGTATGCTCAGCCAAGGCGTGTGTGCTTCCACTTGGATACAGCCGCACAAGCTGCACAGTGCCCCTGGCTTCGGGTCGCGGTTCGGGCTGGGATATCTCGGAAAAGAGCACACTAGAATTGATCGTCCTGAAATAGAAATTTCCCATAAACCAGTTATTTTCAATAGCCATCTAATTATAACGTTTAACCAAATATATATAGAATCAAAGGGACCCGAATTATTATTATAGTACCCTGATAGAACCCATTATATATACTACCCCAGTGCAGTCCCCTTTTCCTGGTGCATTGCAGGGAGTTCTTCGGTTTGGGGTTTTCCGGGGTTTAGGGATTTCGGGTTCAGGGGTTTAGGGGTTTAGGAGTTTCGGGGTTTAGGGTTGAGGGATTCAGGGGTTTATTAGGATTTATGGGTAGAGGCACCCCTAAACTTGATTCTCAGAACCTCGATCTAGCAGAGCCAGGCTGTCGCAAGCACATGTTAACACAGGCCAAGGTTCTTCCCTGGCGCACGTGAAAAAGCGGACACCCCCCAGCAGCAATTCCTAAAACCACAGCATATATGATCTAGATTAATAAATATTACAACCACAAGCTGGATCCGAAGCTTGCCTCACTCTAGCTATAGAAATCACTGATCATGAGCACTCATCCGATCATTGTACACCACTACACTACATTCTAGGATAGTGCACGTAGTCTGAGGCCAGCTTCTCATTTCTTCTTGCCGCCTTTGGGGCCCTTCTTGCGGTTTTGGAAATCCTTGTGGATCTTGTCGAACTTTTCGACAGCTGTAGTCAAAACGTCGGCGGCATCACTGATCGCATCGACCTGGGGAGGGGTGACATGATCATTAATATCACAAGAACACAGTTTTGCAGGTTTCTGAATCGTATGTGAAGTACCTAGCTCTGATATACATATATATATATATGTGGCACTAGGTTCGATTGGGAAATAAAAGCTGTATAAGGTATTTAACCTGAAGCTATATATACTGGCCCATATAAACACTCCACTAAACCCTAAACCCTAAACTCCGAAACCCGAAACCCTAATAAACCCTAAACCCTAATAAACTCAAACCTTTGTTCTGCCCACACAGGCCGAAAGTGTTAAAAAACAAGGAAACCCATTCCTGAAAGTTCCAGGTCGCCAAACAGTAGGTGGTGATATAGCTCAAACTTCTCGGTGCCCCGAAGCAAAGCTTTAAGAAACTTTAAAATAACCAACATATTTCAATGATTAATTATATTTTTACTATGAGATCTAGAATTAGTATAAGGATCAATCTTGAAGGACACTTGAAGCCCCGGCTCCTTCTGCACAACCCTGCCCGATCCCTCAAGTACAGTTTATATGGGGTTCAGGGTTCGGCAAATTAGGGTTTAGTAGGCTGTGGCTGGGAACCTCAATTAGGGTTAAACAAATCCCAGGCATTGCAACTTCTGGATCCTGGCCTCGTCATCATCCACCCTCTTCTGTAGCGTGGCGCGGGCTTCCTGAAGCTTGGCAGCCTGAATAGAGATGCATAGCTGGTTGCAGGGTTTTTTCGAAGGCTGAGTGGGTCTGGGTGGCTTGGTGCGGTCTAGGCTTGGAGGGCTAGCTATAGCAGTGGGTTTAGTAGATTTTCCAGGGCTGACTGGGTATGAGTGAGTCTGGGTGGCTTTGTGCGGTTTAGGCTTGCATTGGAGGGCTCGCAGTGGGTTTAGCTTTTGCAGGGCTCAGTGGGTCTGGGTGGCTTTGTGCGGTTTAGGCTTGGAGGGCTAGCAGTGGGTTTAATAGTATATAGGTTGATACACATATAAGCATTATAAGGTTATAATAGTGTCACGGAATCAGATCTATATGCACAGTTGTTAGAACCACATGTGTGTCCCAGCCATAGCTGCAATAATTTTAAGCCCCTTAAGCGCCTGCTCCTGGATGTCATTTATCATCGCTTTGAGCAGATGGTCTCCCCTGGCCAGATCCAGTAATAAAAAATCAGCATGCAGTTCATGGGGCTTGGTCATGGATTATGGAATTAAGCTGCTGACATGGCATCATTCGACTCTTCATTCTTCAGCTTCGTGGCAATCTTGATCCGATCAGTCGCCTTGTTCGTGGCCTGATTCGACATACAAAGAGCCATGTAGATATACATATTGTGATAGATGCATGCCTTGTTGGCTTTGGACTTGGTGTCCGCCAGAAGCTTTTGGCGCTCCTGCTCCTCACTTGCCTGCACAAGGGAGAGACTTTCGGGGAGATGTAATTATTAATACCCTAAACCCTAAACCCCTAAACCCTAAGGCTTAAATCACAATAACTCTAGCTATAGTTCATTTGGGAATTGCCGGGTCTTGCAATCGGAGTTTTGTCCAGAGCTTGCACCTTCAATTGGTTGTCGGGAAGTCTACGACCCTAATAACACCACTTTAAGGCAAAAGTACCTGCTATGAAGTCCAACCCCTCACCCCCTAAACCCATTATAAACCCTTGTATAACCCTTATAAACCTAAATTCCCTAAACCATATATTTAGAAACCCCAAAACCCTAAACCCTACAAAACCCATAACTAGGGTAATAATTATAATAAGGCAGCCCGACGAATATATAAAGCACTCCAAGGCTTCATGGAATCCGCTCTCAGTGGCCTGGCTTCAAATGAGGAACTCTCGCCGCAATTGGGGTTTCCGGAGGGTTTGGGGTTTATAGGGTTTAGAGCGTTTGGGGTTTCGGAGGGCTTGCGCTATTAGAGGTTTTTTAGGGTTTAGAGCGTTTGGGGTTTCGGAGGGTTTGCGCTTTTATAATAAGGGTTTAGAGGTATTGGGATTTATAAGGGTTTTTGCAGTGTACACCCCCACCTGGGCAGTGCTGGCCTTGGCCTTTGCTTTGGCTTTTCCCTTTGCTTTCGGCTTTTTTTTGGCAGGGCTCGGGCTCGACTCTTTCTTGGCTTTCTTCGATTTCTTCTTCTTCTTTTTCTTCTTCTTCGCCGATTCCTCGGAGGACGAGGAATCGGAGTCAAAAGCCGTCGAGAACACCGTCTCGAAGGCTTCCTCCTCCAGGTCCTCTTCTGAGTCTTCACAGAGGCACAGGTACTGCTTCATGCTGGGGACCTCTGGAAAGTCTCTGATCTCATCCTCGGCCCTCTGTTCATCGGCCTCCTTGCTCTCCACCATTGCCAAAGCGATTTTCTCGCCCCACCTGTTACACATCTCCTGAAACAGCATCCATTTTCGAATGCCCCTTCGGGCACTCGAATTCTTGGATCTCAAAGTGGCAAGCAAAGTGGACTTTTTCCAATCTTCATTCGAAGCTAGCCAAGATTCGAACATGTAAGATCGTTGTCCTGAGTTCTTCCGGACCTTTCGAGCCAGGCGGCAAATCTCGGGCGGGCAGTTGACGCCTGGGCAATGCAGCTAACAGGCTTGAAACAGAGATTGAAGGCAGCCACACAAAACATGAAGAAACAATAATGATGATGAAAATTCAAGATAGGCGGCTTTCCAGGCTGCGGTAATACCGCATATTGCGAGCGTGAAGACGCTTTCTTCGAGCCTCCTTTGACTCGGCTTCTGGCTTGCCTTCGGCTTCTCCTTCTTTCTCCTCTGTCTTCTCCTTCTTGTCTTCTGCTGCTTGATCATGATCAATCTTCTGCTTCTTGTCGATGTGGCCGACAATGAGGTGAAGCTCCTCATTTGTCAGCTGGTCCACCGTGTGCCCTCGCCGCAAGATGGCCTCAACCCGAGCTGATGCATCATCCTTTGACTCTTGAGGAGCCTCTCCACCCGTAGCAGGTGCCCCTTCAGACTCTTTCCAATCGTAACCCGACCAAGAACTCCATGAACGATCATTCCAGGAATTCTCAGGGCCATAGGACCCCCAGCCCCAGTCCCAGCCCCACTGATTCCAACTCTGATCCCACTGCCTCGCGCTCACCCAGGATCCATGATCAGACCACGGCGAAGAGATCCAGCTTTGATCGGAGGTCGCCTCATGGGACTTGGAGTAAATTAGAAAGTGGAGTACAAACTATTGCTGCTACTACGCTGCTAGTACTACCTGCTAGTGGCTACTACTGCTAGTATACTATTATATAGTGCTGCTACTACTATAGCTACTACCACTACTACTCCTGCTGCTGCTAATATATTTGTTATAATTATCTTCTTTTTCCTGCAAAGGCAACTAGTTGCCAGATTGCATGCTACAAGGCTTAATCTGTTCGAGGGTTGTTTAGGTTGTCTACGGGGTTTTGGTGATATATAGATTATAAGAATCGAAGAGTTTGTTATGGTTTGTTTCAATTGCGTACCTTAACCTCAAACCCCATCCACCCTACATAGCATGAAGCTCCCTGCAGCACAAGTGGTTGCATGATCAGCCAGATCTCGATGGCATGGGTCGAGGAATTATCTGTGACCTTGACTGGGGCCTGTGCACATCACTACATGTCTACGTATACATATGTGTGTGTGTGTGTCCACATGCATTTGTGCGTAGGTATGTATGTATACATATATATAATATATGTACATACCTAAGGCTACTGGACATATGTGTAGAATATTATA